GGTCGCCGAGTTGCTCAGAAGGAGGATGAAGCATTCAATGGATATAGTGATTTGGAGTGAGATGGAGAGTTTGGTAAACTTGTTCTGTTCTGTTGTTTATGTTATAGTTATCTGTAGAACTGTTCATATGTGACATTAACAGTCTGTTGTTCTCTGTTCTGTTGTTATTACGAGAACTTGCCTTTCAAGATGAAATGTCGGTTGTTGGTCTTTGATTTTATAAAATAAGTCTTCCTCAAAAAGTGTGACTTATAGTCCAGTGCAACCTTTATATGTGTTTTTCTTCTTCATTAAGCATTTTTGGGCTTGTGCAACTTATATTCCAGAGCGGTTTATACTCCGAAAAATATGGTACTTTATGTCATTTTCTAGCTTGAAACATTTCTCAAATTACACTATTTTCTGTTCTACGTTATATTGTTATTTCCTCATCACAAACATATCTGGAGTTGTGTTTTGTTTCATTCACATGTTTAACACACAAACCCTGCATATTTATTAGGTTGAATTCTCTCAGAAAAAAAAAACAGAAAACACCCTGTTCCACCTTGTGATGTCATGTGGTAATACAGGAAGTGCTCCACATTTGGATGATTTTAGCTCTGAGTTGCCTATTTCTACTGAACAAAGGTAAAAAGTAGCTGTTAATTTGAAAACTACGGCTTCGTGACAAGGTGGAACAGAACATTTTAAGCTTTAGAGATGCAGACTGACTAATAATAAAGGGTTACTCAAACATGTGTGAATGAAGCAAAACACAACTCCATGTATGTTTTTGAGAAGGTAACAACATTATAACCGGGGGTTAAAGCTCACAAGAGTTGATTTTGCGTAATCATAAGAAAGAGGGAAAAATTTGGTCAGCGGTACGGTAGTTTTATTGTAGTTCGTTTATGCATAATTTCAAAGTGTAGACAAACCCACTTTCAGTTTGATCAATTTAGTCAAGTCTTAGCCTTGGTCATTTCTCTCTGTGATTAATTTGCAGATAAAATGAGTCCTCACACTGGCTCCTGTCATATAAATCAATACAAAAAAGTCTTTTGAACAGCTCTTTGAAATGAACAGATACAAAAGATCCAGGTCTCATGAAAGAGCTGAAAGTGAAAAGGAGATATAGTTTAAATATGCAGGGTTACTGAGGGATGTGTGTATGGCATAACACAACTAATAATAACACGGTGCGATGAGTTTTAATATTACACAGCATTTCAAAGCACGTATGCATTATTCAGTTTTGTAGCTACTTTTTGACATGTTAACTTTGATATTCTGCTTTTTATAGTATGTGACCTTTAAAGCTGGCAGTAAAGAATACAATTTACTGAAGTGTTTGTTATAAGACTTTAACACAAGCAGCTGCCTGATTCTTCCGTCTGCAGTTACACTTCAGCGTCCACAGCTGCTGGACTCTCTCGAGGTTTAGAACTCAACAAACTAAGTGAACTTGTCATAATATTTGCATGTGCTGCCAGTTCAAAAAGTTCTGTGGAAGTAAACAGATGTAGAAATAAATAGCTTAAAAGGAGAGACTTCAATTGTCCAATGACGTAACAGTACTGACATTTGGACCAATCACATAACAGCACTGGCATAGGTTTTATAGGCCCATCGCATATCAGCACTGCCACTTACAGACTAATGTTGTAACAGTACTGACACTTATGGACCAGTGCCATAACAGTACTGACACTTATGGACCAATATCGTCACAATACTGATACTTTTGGACCAACGTCATAACAGTACTGATACTTATGGAAGAATAGTGTAACAGTGCTGACACTTATGGACCAATATCGTCACAATACTGATACTTTTGGACAAATGTCGTAACAGTACTTACACTTATAGTCCAATAGTGTAACAGTGCTGACACTTATGGACATATAGTGTAATGGTGCTGGCACTTAGGGACAAATGTCGTAAAAGTACTGTCACTTATGGACCAAGACATAACAGTGCTGACACTTATCGACCAATGCCACAACAGTACTGACACATGGACCAATGTATTAACAGTGCTGACACTTATGGACCAATAGTGTAACAGTACTGACACTTACGGACATATAGTGTAACGGTGCTGGCACTTAGAGACGAATGTCGCAAACTTACTGACACTTATGGACCAATAGTGTAACAGTGTTGACACTTATGGACCAATGCCATAACAGCAGTGACACTTATGGACCAATAGTATCACAGTGCTGACACGTATGGACCAATGTTGTAACAGTACTGACACTTATGGACCAATAGTGTAATAGTGCTGACATTTATGGACCAATGGTGTAACAGTGCTGACATTGGACCAATAGTGTAACAGTACTGACAATTATGGGCCCATGCAGTAACAGTGCTGAGACTCATGGACCAATAGTGTAACAGCAGTGACACTTATGGACCAATGTAATAACAGTGCTGAGACTCATGGACCAATAGTGTAACAGTGTTGACACTTATGGATAGATGAAATCGTTATTGATCTGAGGCTTTTGATGCACCATGAACCATGAACTGAACCATAAAGCCTAATAGAAAATAGGTCGTAACACACAGCACATGCAGGTCTCTGAGAACAAATATCCAGCAGTCATAAACAATAAAAACACACCTTACCTTTGGCCCTGACTCTTGTATTCCACAGACCCGGAGAGTTTCCCAGTGGAAATGTTCCTGCTGTGAGCTGATGATCACCTTCTCCTTCCTTGCAGCTCTGGTTCAGTTATCCCAATGCACCATCAATGCGTTTGCTGTGTCCGCGTTTGTCGATCTCCTGTTATCTTGCTTCGAATTCTGCTTCAACTAGTCCCTAGGTCTGTCTGGGACTCAGCAGTACTCGTTACGGTTGAAAGTTTAGCCGTCTCTTGGGCCGCTTGTACATCCCGCTGACGAAACACAGTTGAGCTCTGCGTTGGACTTATTAAAGGCTGTACCAAAGACCTACACATTCATGGTCAGCACTGTGTAAAGCGGATGATTTTAAAACGTTCAATCATTTGGAGAAACTTCAGTAGTTTTTTTTTTTTTTTTTTTTTTTTCTCATTGCAGTGCAATAAAACATTGGTTACAACTTTCAGTAGCCTATTCAACAAATGCAGCAGTCTAGCAATAAATCTAAATAAGTAAATAATGTGAATCATGCATTCTCACATTCCCCACAGTTCAGCAGATGTCAGCATCTGCCTCATTATCAGCTCCAATGTTGTGATCTGTCACTTTTCAGTCAGCATCATCTCGGTGCCTTTGTCTCTGTATGTGCGTCTTGTGCCAACGCGCCCTTTGAGCTGATTAGTGTTCTGCTTCACACTGGAGTTAAACCTCCACAATCGATGCACGCGTTCACACAAACAGGCAGGAGAATGCCCAGAGAAGAGCCGTGTGCCATTGTGTGTGTGTGAAGATGGCTATTGTAATACTGCCGTTGTGTCCTTTGGCAAGACACTTAACCCATGAACCAGTGTGTGAAATGGTGAGGGACTGCTTGAGCGTAGAATGTCCTAGATATAAATATGACCATTTATCATTTATATGTGACCATTTAAGATGTTTTTTAAAATGTTTTATTTATTGTTAGTTTTTTACTGGAAGTCACATGGTAATTTGTGTTTTTAGTGACAATTAAGTTACCTTTAATTAGACTAGATAATCAGTGATGTAACAGCACTGACAAAACATGTAACAGTAATGACAAAATGGACAATTATCATGTTTTACAAGCCAAACTGGATTACATATGGTAATTTTTATTTTATTTTATTATTATTATTATTTTTTTTACTTTAAGTAAACTAGAGATTGTCAAAGGAGTAACAGCACTGTCATATAGTGTAACAGTAATGGCAGAATGGACATAATGGCCACACTGGATCACACACGGTAGTTTTTGAATGTGAATTTAATTAAACTAGAGATGATCAACGGTGTAACAGTGCAACCAGTTATGGCCCAATAATGTAACAGTATTGACAGAATTTAATTATCATGGTTTTTAGCTGTACTGAATGACACATTTTTGATTGTGCAATTCTGAACAGCACAGACACTGATAAATAGTGTAACAGTTAAGACAGAATGGACAATTATCATGTTTTGTTTGCCAAATTGGATCACACATGGCAATTTTAGAATGTGAACTTTAATTAGACTGGTGCTAAGAAACCCTATCAGTAATGCCTCCCCTGACAGGTCTCTGCTCTGTTGGCCGTGCATGTCTTCAGTACACAGTAGAAGACCGCCTGCTGGGCCTTTGATTGGCACCATAGCGAAATCCTGAGGCGTTTTTGTGCACAGAGACTAGAGGCAGAGCTCATCTCACCACAGCGTCTGAGAGCTGCCTCCCCACTTTCTGTTTGTGAGGGCCAGAGAGAGGCATCCTGGTTATTACCCCAATCCTCTGCAATTTACCAAAACAACACACCAGGACGTCAACACCGAGACGGCCAGAAATGAATTTAGAGCCATTTTCCATCACATAGTTAGTCAGAGAATCAGCACTTTGGTTAGTATGTGGTTAAGATTGGGGAGAGAAAGTGGCAGAAATTGTTGCATAATTATTGTGATATTAACAAATAAAAAAATGTCATTATGTTTGGCTCTTTAAATCTGACAGTGCAGCACTTAAAAGGACATAAATGTGGGATTGTTACAGTATTTAAAAAAATAATATTTGTCTTTTTGTTGGTCCTGGTTGAATGTTTGTTTGATTTTATTTTAACAGACAGGCTGGTATACAAATACTGATAAAGAACTGTCTTTATCATTTCCATCTGGAACAGGTTGAAATGCCTGAAAGTGACTTCGTGACTTCTAACTTAAAATCCACCCTCCAGAGCAAGAAAAAGAAATAAAAACATATATTGTGCCAACATTAAAGTGAAAAGGATGTCCTTGGAATTGTCAAACATATAATTTGACACTAGACAAATATGCTATGTTACAATATCTATCTTATTTTAAGAATGCTTGTGAATAATACATGTTTTTGTCCTTTCCAGGCTGACAGAGTCCCACCGCAGAGCCATCCGAGTGGTGCAGAGGATGCGCTATTTTGTGGCCAAGAGAAACTTTCAAGTGAGGTTTTTTATTTTTATTTTCACCATAAGAAAATGTATACTTTTTTAGTGACATCATTGTTCAACTGGGAATAAGTTACCATGGTGATCAGAGGAAGTACAAAAAGTACACTACTATACTTCTAAACTTTTAAAGTTGATATGTTTTACGTTTACTTCACTACATTTGAGAGCAGGTATGTGTACTATCTACTCCACTTCATTTTGAACTTTTTCTTATTTGTGAGATCTGCTGAAATTGGTGAGAGTCTATTGTCAGCAAGTTCATAATTAAACAAATATATATGAATGGAAATCAGCACAATTTTGATCAAAATCACTTCATTTGATGCTTAAATAGATCTTAAATCTTTCCTTTACTCAGTTAGTACAAGCACCATTGGTCCTGTTTATGTGTTTGATCAGCTCAGCTTTTGCTAAATCAGTCTGTTACAGTCAAACAAAGGTCAGATTAAAGTCTAACTTGAGAAACAGAGCCTCAGACAGAGAAGTGCCTCCAGTTATCTTCAGCCCCCCAGGGAAAGGTATCAATTCATGGGTTTCAGGCAAATTATTCTTTCCTGATTTTAAGAATTCCCCCATTTCCCCCATACAAAATATGTGATATTTAGCTGTGAATTGCTTCTTTGTTGAAGAAAGAAAAAGAAGATTAGAGTAATAAATGAAAATTAAAATCAAACCTGCACTTCAATTGTTCAACCTTTAATGACTAAAATTAATACAATTATATTTGAATATCCAAATTTCCTAACACAATGACAGCAGCAAACCCACAAGCTTTGTGATGTGCAAAAAATAATGATAATAAAATGGGAACCACTCATCATTTTGTAGATGAGTGGTTCTCATTTTATTATTATTTATAAACTGTGATTAATTTATTTAACCTGACCTGTGTGTGATGAGTGGAAATCAATACTGTGTATTTGTATAACTGAATATGTAGTTCTAATTTCTTTTTCAAATCTCCTAACATGATGAAACCAGCAAGCCCGCAAGCCGTATGACGTGCGTGATGTGATCGAGCAGTACTCCCAGGGTCACCTCAACCTCATGGTGCGGATCAAGGAGCTCCAGAGACGGTACGGCAGCCCTGCATGACCAAAAAGCCCATTCTTACATGTCATATGATAATGAGGATTACTGTAATGTGTGTGTGTGTGTGTTTCTGCAGCCTGGACCAGTCTTTGGGCAAGATCTCACTGTTCCAGAGCAGCTCAGGTAAAGATTTGTTTTAAAGGTCGTTTATTACGCAGAAGGGATTCTTGTGAGCTTTAAGCCAAGTTAAAATGTTACCGTATCAAAAACATATCCTGGGTTACGTTTTATTTCATTCACACGTTTGACTAATCCTTTATTATTAGTCTGTCTACATCACAAAATAGCATGAAATAAGCCCTTTAAGAAGAAACTGCAAAAATACCTGACTGTGTTTAAAGGTTTGAACGCTCAAAAGCTCTTTACATTTACCATGGTATGATAAAAGCTGCTAAAACTGAGACTGAAAATAAAATATGCTTATTTTTGATAGTATTTTTCAGGTAACTAATACAGCAGCTACTCACAGGGTCACCTCTTTTTGTCTAATCAGGCACATTGTTACGAAGAAACATAATTCATAATAAAATGTATGTATGTCAGACTGGAAGATTACTTTATAATTACGTTTCCATTATTCATTCTGTCTGCCTAAGGTTTCAAGTGCAAAAGTAATTAAAAACATAGTCTACGCAGATATTTCTTTTTGTTTTGTGGTTTTCAATGCGGTTACAATTACGTTCGATTTCAATTTGTTTTGGTAAAGCTCGAAATGACAGCAGATGTCGTCTCACAGGGTTTAACAAATGTGGGGATTGAAACGACAGAACAGATCAATAATAATAAAACAAGAAGATCAACATACAGAGTGAACCAGGATTAAATCAGAATTAAACCAGGATTAAACCAGGACTGAACCAGGACTGATCCAGAATTGAACCAGGACTGAAACAGGACTAAACCAGTATTAAACGAGGATTGAAACAGGATAAAACCAGGCCTGAACCAGGACTAAATCAGAATTGAACCAGGATTAAATTAGGAATGAACCAAAATTAAATCAGGACTGAACCAGGATTGAACCAGGACTAAACCAGGACTGAAACTGGACTAAACCAGGACAGAACCAGGTCTGAACCAGGACTAAATCAGGACTGAACTAGGACTAAACCATGTCTAAACCAGGATTGAACCAGGACTAAACTAGGATTAAACCAGGACTAAACCAGAAATGAACCAGGACTAAACCAGGAATGAACCAGGACTAAACCGGGATTAAACCTGGACTGAACCAGGACTAAACCAGGAATGAACCAGGTCTAAACCAGAAATGAACCAGGACTAAACTGGGATTAAACCAGGACTGAACCAGAATTAAATCAGGACTGAACCAGGATTGAACCAGGATTGAACCAGGACTAAACCAGGCTTAAACCAGGATTTAACCAGAATTAAACCAGGACTGAACCAGTATTAAACTAGGATTGAACCAGGACTAAACCAAGACTGAACCAGAATTAAACCAGGACTGAACCAGAATTAAACCATGACTAAACCAGAACTAAACCAGAACTAAACCAAGACTGAACCGGGACTAAACCAGGACTGAACCAGAATTAAAGCAGGACTAAACTAGAACTAAACCAAGACTAAAACCAGGACTGAACCAGGCTTGAAGCAGGACTAAACCAGGACTAAACCTCCTAAACCCTCCTAATCTGACAGCCTTAAACATACTTTGCTCATATTAAATTACCCCAAAACTTTGAAAATAACAAATCCAATTATGACACATGACAATAACCGGACAACAACACAAAATAGCTTTAAACTTCCTGGATGTCCTCTTCTGTGTTGTGCTCATAATGATTGCAGACAGTGTATTCTCTTTCATTGTAACAGTGTGTGTTTGTGCTCAGAGCGGGCCAAGGACAGAGGCACTAACTCCATTGGGTCCAGGCTGCACAGAATGGAGGACAAGGTGAGGTGTTTCAGTATAAATGGTGTGTTTTCATTGATTGTACCATTTGTATTACTAGTGCATGCTCAAATATAGTTTTATTTCATGGCACTGGAGGCGATGCGGGTGATGCCTCTTGCCCAAAGGCACAGCATCAGTATGTACGAGCCAGAGCTGGACCGACTGTTGCCCCTCGCTATAGCATATTTAGAAAGTTAAAAACAATCCTACTCCCTACTTTTTTCCCCCATAATAAACCAAAAAAGACACACACACACACACACCACTCAGCCACACAACCATACACACATCCACTCACACCCAGACATACTCGAGGAGAGAGGTGCTTACCTAACAGAAAGCTAACTCTTCCCCAATTCTACAAGTGTTAAAAGAGCAAGAAATGAAAACTGAACCTAGGATGTCATTAGCTCTCATGTACTGAGGACATAACCTGGCCAGCAAGACCAATTCTTTCTGTATTTGTGAGTTCACAAAGTCACGGGAATCAGCGAGAGCCGTTCCAGATTAATAATTGTGTAGAACTCAAGTGCTACACACATCAGTCTGACATTATCCAGACTATGAGGACACATCATACTGTAGACCAGGCATGTCCAAACTATGGCCCGGGGGCCAAATGCGGCCCTCAGACAAATTTTTCTTGGCCCTCAGGCTTCCAGGTGAATTGGCCCAAATTGCCTTGCGTCAATTAAAAATTTACTTTTTGCTGCAAGTTTTTTGAAAATCTACCTTGATAAAGCCAATATTGAATATTTAGTGTGTGGTTTTAAGGATCTTAGCATGAATAAAGACTGATGGCTCATTTTAATGTGTTTAAACATGCACATATTTCAGTTATTCACTGTATTGCTTTCCAGTCTATGGCCCTCGATTGGCCCTCTGCTTCATCTGTGTTTAGATATGTGGCCCTTGATGAAAAAAGTTTGGACACCCCTGCTGTAGACCTAACCAGACTGGCGCCACCTAGTGCCTCCGCTCAATTTCACAAAATCAAAATACACTAGACCAGACGTGAGCAAACTAAGGCCCCGGGGGACATAAGCGGCCCTTTAAACTTTTTAATCTGGCCCGCCAAACTTGAAAAAAAAAAATAATAATAATTCTCCATGTTTTAAAAGTTTTTTCTCTTATGAAGTGGATTACCAAAAAACTCCATCCATCTGCTCCTGGTTCGGCCATTCCGTCAAATTTTAGAACCCTTTGTGGCCCTCAAGTAAAAAAGTTTGCGCACCCCTGCACTAGACGGTTCTCAAAAACCCCAAAAGTGCAAGTTCGGGCACCGGCAAATCAACAAAGAGTCATACATTTTGTGTATTGCATTCCCGAGATCGAGCATTTAAAGCTGGAACAAAGACAATGTTTGGCGAATTTCATCAAGGGGAAAGATGTTATTGCCCTTCTTCCTACAGGATTTGGGAAAAGCTTAATATACCACTTAGCCCAGTTGTCAGCGCATTACATACGTGACGACCAAATAGCAGCGATTGGTTAAATGATATAAAGTACCCACCTACTGTCAAACGAATGAATTCTAACACTGCGAGATCAGACGGTTTCTATGAAGTGAAACTGGCTGATGAATCAGGCTACTGTAGACCAAGGGTGAGCAATTATTTTTTCCACGGGGCCACAGGAGAAACAGAAAATATTGTGGAGGGTCGGGCCAAAATGCTTAACTCAATTCTGCATAATATGAATTGTATTTCTTTATAAAAAAGCAGTAAATAACAATGTTTTGATGAGCTGGTAAGATTGGTAAGAGTTTATGTTAAGACTAAGCAATGAAAAATGAAAAAATTCATTAAAAAAACACCTCTAATATAAAACCAATGCAGCTTTAGTCCATGCATAGCCACACCCTATTGAAGATGGCCACCTGAGCTCTCATTCTGTTTGCCTGATGAAGGCCTAGTGCCGAAATGTTGCACGGTTTGTCCTAATAAATCTCACAATTTACAAGTAAGACAGTGTGCGGGATTGTTCTCTATGTTCTTGGGTTGCTCCTTCTCTTCCAATGCACCCATCTCAAGTAATTGATGTGCGAAGTTCTCATTCTTTTATGTCCATGCATGAGGTAAAATGATAAAATATGCTTATTGTGCTCAGAGTCAACCAAAGGGCTGTATGTGGCCCGGGAGCTGGACAATGCCCAGGCCTGCCATATACTCTGTTGCCTTTTGGGTTTATTACAAAGGCAAGGCAAGGCAAGTTTATTTGTATAGCACAATTCGTACACAAAGTAATTCAAAGTGCTTTACAGAATAAGAAATACATTAAAATCATAATAAAAACAAATCAAAACATAAATAATCATGAAGATTAAAACTAAAAAAGAGAGACATAAATTGGAGAGAAGAGTGCGGAATGAAAACCTTTCAGTTATATGCACAGTTAAACAGAAATGTTTTGAGTCTGGATTTAAACAGCGTCACAGAAGAGTCTGTCTCACATGTTCAGGAAGACTGTTCCAGGTTTTAGCTGCATGAACCTGAAACGCTGACTCCCCTTGTTTAGTCCTGACTCTGGGCACCAGCAGGAGGCCGGTCCCTGAGCTCCTCAGAGTGTGAGATGTTCATATGACACTAACATGTCACAGATGTACTTTGGTGCTCGGCCATGGAGAGACTTGTACACAAGCAGAGCTGCTTTAAAGTCTATTCTCTGAGGCACAGGAAGCCAGTGCAGAGACCTGAGCACAGGACTTATGTGCTCGTACTTCCTAGTTCGAGTAAGGACCCGAGCTGCAGCGTTCTGGATGTTCTGCAGCGTCTCACAGCTCGTTTGGAGAGACCAGTGAGCAGACCATTGGTTTTAATCATAGGATCTGACAGTTCAAAGTGAGGACCTCATTTTGAGTTCTGAACGAGATCAATTTGAGAACCAAAGCACAAAATGTAAAGAATGTAATTGTGAATGAAAGAGCGTTATAATTATCATGAGCAAAATCAAAACTTAATTTGAGCATAAAAATGATGATATTAGAGTGCTGCACTGGATCAAAACTTACACATACAGGTGCTCATCAGCCCAGACTAAAGGGCTTAACTTAATTTGAACATGTTTAAACCATACTTAAGGAGCCTAGAAAGGTAATGTGTTTATAAAATATAGAAGGAAAAAACTCCTACATGATCATCTTCATCTTTTCTTCCACAAGAGGGCGACAAAGAACCAAAAAGCTGATTCCATTCAAATGAGAATATAAATCCCTCCTGTATCTTCCATTGCTGAATTAAATAGTTCTATTTTAACCCATAGATTTGAGTAAAATCCAACTTGACCTACTGAACAGGGAGATAAGATGACGAAGCAAACGCCTGTAGATCCTGGGTGATGTTCTGAGCAGAGTGTGGGATGCACAGGCTAGAGTGGAGAGCAGGGCACAGCCATTTGAGTGATGGATGGAGAAGTGTCTGGACCTAAATGAGCTGGCACAGTTATTCTGCTCTGAGCTCACTCCACTGGCTCCTTAACACCAAAGCGGCCATCTTGACTCATAAGACATTAATGGATGCTGTGTTTAGTGCGAAACAAAATGCTAAACTGAGGTACTTTTCTCAATTCTATGTCTATTTTTTTTTTTTTTTTTTATATATATATCACTTTTCCACCTTCAAGGCAGTCAGTGCACTCACCCATTCACACACACATTCACACACACATTCACACACACATTCATACACACATTCATACACACATTCATACACACATTCACTTACTAGTGTCTGCGTACACGAGGCAAGGTGGGTCTGTATATATATTTTTTTGTTAGAAACTGGGTCAACAAACTTACCAAACAATAGTATAAAAACTGTTAAATATTCACATTTTAATAGAACTTTTTGACCCTCAAGGAAATCAAAGCATGTCAATGAACCACACCGATGTACGCAGACACTGGGGGCAATGTGGATGAAGTGCCTTGCCCAAGACACCATGAGGGAGGTGGGATAGAACCCCCCAACCTTCAGATCAGAGGACAAACACTCTACCAACTAAACTAGTCACGCCCCGGTTTTATGAATGAAAAACAAAATGACATCCCATTTTAAAGAGAGATCACCATGTTACCTTGTATTGTTTTAAAAATGCTGTATTTGCAGAAAACAACATATTCAAATGTATAATTAGTTTTGTTTTGATGAGCTGATTGTTGCATGATACTCCCTCTGAGCCTAAGGACTGAGTAATTAAAGGAGTGAGCCATATTTTGAATTTGAAAACATAAATCCGCTCACGTTCAGCCTGTTTCCTGTGCAGATGGCTCACATGGAGAAGACCCTGAGCCACATCTGTGACTCCCTGCGCCTCCTGCTGGACCAGAGGGACGCTGCGGGGGCCAAAGAGGAGCAGCAGTACCCGCCCAGCCTCCCCAGTCAGGACAGTCTGCCCTCCTACGAGCAGCTGTCTGGACCTTCAGCGCCCTCTGTGCAAAGTCATGAGAACTTTTTAAAGTGAAGTTGGCTGGGATCGTGTTGTCGTGGGAGATGTACTGAAATTGCATTTTAACTGTACACATTGAATCCTGATAAAAGCCTGTGATGACCTCATATTCTGCAGAGATCCTAGTGTGATTCAGTGCTTCCCAGTTGAATGCAGTTCGTTTTGTACATGAGGAAAATTTCTTCAGGAAAAACAAATCCTAGAAAGAGGTTTGATAAATTGTATGTATCAACAGTACTCCATAGTTTTATAGAATTATCAAAGGCATAAGGGAATAATAGAAACATAAAAATATGTATTGTAGATGTTATGGCAATGTGGCATTTAAGGCATTTATCTCCTTAGAGACGAGCAGGTGACACCACCAGATGTACGACCAGCTCATCTAGAGAGGAGGGAAGTAACAAAAAAAAAGTTGTAAAAGGTTAACTAAAAATTGTAATTGGTTAATTGACATGTTTTATAATGAAAATAATTAACAAATTGGAATGAAAATGAAGGAAATGAGCAATTGCCACTTAACACAATAGAGCCCCTGGCTGGTTAATTGTGACCCTGGTTGAGGCGGGATTAAGACCAGAATTAAACCTGTTTCATTTTTAGTTTTTTTGTTTTTTTCAGAAATTGTTCCTTATTGTTAAATAAAATATTTTTATTGACTCTCTGATGTTGTGTAATTTAAAATCATTGTCATTTTTTATTCAAGTAAAAATACAGTTACATGGTAAGGCACTCTTCTACTGACAAACCTGAAACCAGAGAGAAACATGCAAACTCTGCACAAACACCTCACAACACCAGGGAGAACCTCCTCACTGTGAGCTGCGAGTGTGAACCACCTCAGTGTGTCAATGTGCCACCCACTGTTCTCACTGTACTCTATTACAATCACAAGAATTGCTGCTAAATTTGTACTTAAACAAAAGTATGCACACAAAATACTACACAAGCTACTATTTACTAGTTACTTTTTAATGCAAATTTGGTAGCATTTTAGACGAGCATTTTAAAATTAAACTGTATTAATTGAACAGTTTAAAGTTGAATTAGAAAGAGGCAGAGACCGTGGTAAAACAACTGCACACTGGTACACTAGTAACTCTTATGAATTGAACTGTAATCATTTATGAAACACCCAAAAGTCACTTTACTATTGTGTGCATTATTCATTCACTCCATCGCTGGAGGTTGTAAGCTACTATTGTGGTCACAGCTGCCGTGGGACAGACTGACTGAAGTTAGGCATTGTGGGTCAAGTGTCTTCTGCCACTGGCGCCTCACTGTAGCACCTGATTTCTCCCACCCAAGTACCGTATTTTCCGGACTATAGAGCTCTCTGGATTATAAAACGCACTGTCATTAAATGGTCTATTTTAGAACTTTTTTCACAAATCAACTGCACCGGACTTTAAACGAAACACAACAGTTGGATGGGTCAGTGGGACTTTGTTTGTGGCGTTCACGGTGACTCTGGGCTTTGTTCAGTTGTGGCGTGTAGGGAGGGTGCTGTCTGGGACCGCTGGATTGTCGGCGCGTTCGCAGTGATTCAGTTGTTCAGTTGTGGCTCAGAGTGACACATCGCACTAGTTTTTTCGGTTCATTCCTCCGTTCCGTTCCTCATCGGCGTGGAGTGATGAGTGTGGCTGTGGGTGTGTTTCGCTGCGCGGTCGCTGTCTGCTCCATGTATGTTTACGTGCGCAGTGGGTGGTGCAGTTTGGTGGTTTACTGAAGTCGTGCTGGGACACCCGAGTGGATTCGTGTATAGGGTGCTCTGGCTTGCGGACCGAGCGGTCGTTTTTTGACGGGGTTAGGCTTAAGAGCGCGCCCTATAGCCTGGAAAAGACCCAGCCCTGCTTAGCTTCTGATGAGAGGCTTTGACAAGGAGGTTTGGCCACAGTGTCACAAAGTACAGTTAGATTCAGATCTACACAAGTACAGGTGTAAAAATGTATTTCATTCAGGTAACATTAGTATTTGTAATGACTTAATGGTCACTTTCACCTCATTTTAAATCTATAACATACACATTTGACACAAAGCAGCAAAACAATTATGGGAGTTTAGCTCCAGCTCTGCAGCTTTGAAAAGGATGAGGGCGTGGCTTGTCTGGCTATAATAAGACTTCATGGAGACTTCAAATGATGTTCTTGCGGAGTGCATTATCAAGCTAAATAATTACAGCTTTTGAGGCTCGGTAATTACAGCCACTTAGATTGCAATTAATCTTTTAGCCCTGGTCTCCAACACAGTCAAATGCAGGTGGTGCGTGGATGGATTTTACATATACAAGAAATGAGAGAAGGTCAAACAAAAACACTTGTATTTTCCAGAGGGTCTTGAGCTGTGGCCTCACTGTTGTGGACGCACTTATGTTCAGTAGGTGTTGGGTTACTTAAACATGAGACTGCAGTTAGGACGGAAGGTTTATGCAAAAGTGAACCTCTTCAGGACTTCACCTTTTAAAAACAAAAGGCACTTATGAGGTAAAATGTTAAGTAAAGACAGGAGCCAACCATTTATCCAAGAGTAGTGCTACTTTAAAGGTGTAATAATACTTATCTTTTCTGGAATAAAACTTACCTGATTGTCCCCATTACTGCTTTACTGACAAACATGCTTAAACACTGGACCAAGTTACGTGTCAGATCTGCAGTGTTGGGAAGGTGACTTTTAAAATATATTCCTTTACAGATTACAGATTACATATCCCAAAATTTAGTTTGTAACATAATCCATTAAATTACTTAAAGTGAGTAATGTAATCTGAATACTTTGGATTACTTGATTTGCTGTAGAGAAGCAAAAATGAGGAAATCTTCACATAAGATGTTTTGTCTGCTAAAAGAAAATAAAAAGCCCAGACTTTACTGAACCATATTAAAAAATATTATTGACGGAAAAGGAGGAGACACGTCCATGCAGCATGATTTAGTCCTGTTAAATCCTGTTTTAGTCCTGGTTTAGACCTGGTTTAGACCTGGTTTAGACCTAGTTTAGACCTGGTTTAGTTCTGGTTTAGACCTGGTTTTAGTCTTATTTTAGTCCTATTTTAGTCCTGGTTTAGACCTGGTTTAGACCTTGTTTAGTCCTAGTTTAGTCCTGGTTTAGACATGGTTTAGACCTGGTTTAGACCGAGTTTAGACCTGGTTTTAATCCTAGTTTAGTCCTGGTTTTAGTCCTGGTTTAGACCTGGTTTAGACCGAGTTTAGACCTGGTTTTAATCCTAGTTTAGTCCTGGTTTTAGTCCTGGTTTAGACCTGGTTTAGACCTGGTTTAGTCCTAGTTTAGTGCTGGTTTAGACCTGGTTTAGTTTTGCTTTAGACCTGGTTTAGACCTGGTTTAGTTCTGCTTTAGACCTGGTTTAGACCTGGTTTAGTTCTGCTTTAGACCTGGTTTAGACCTGGTTTAGACCTGGTTTAGTTCTGCTTTAGACCTGGTTTAGACCTGGTTTAGACCTGGTTTAGTGTCCGGCAATGAGTGGAATTACCAAAAAACAAACAAACAAGGGAATAGCCCAAAATGTGAAAACAGGAAAATACCGCCGTGTAATCCATTTATTTCAACAAAGCAACTGTAATCCAATTACCACTCATTGAAAACAGTAACTGTAACTGAATACAGTTACTCATAATTTGTACTCTGATTACGTAACTCTGGTACATGTAATCTGTTACTCCCCAACACTGCATATATGTGTGAGGTGACGCCCCCTCACAGTAACAATGTTTGTTTCATGCAAGGTATTTGTAACAATAAAAACATCTGGCAAAATCATTGTAATAAATTAAATAAATGTAATAAAAATAAAATAAATAAATGAACAAACATCTCCATGGCAGCAAAAGTTATGTGCCCACCTAAAGAAATAATCAAATAATTAAAGATGCATTGTGTAACTTTTCTGCTGTCAAATACTTTTCATCATGGAGATTTTCTTGCTTCGCCTGTAATGTTTCCCAGCATGGTATTAACGTTTTTATCACCATGGAGACCAAACCAAGACCAAGTTACAGGTAAGATCTGTGGAGAGGTGACCCCACTCACAGACACCTGTAATTGAATAAATGTAAGGTAGAGCTGTTTAAAGTCATACAGTGGAACATTCCAGGCAGAGCAGTGACATATCCATAAAAATAAGCAGGTGATGGACCCTCAGCCAAACAGTTACACAATGCACCTTTAAATAGTAATGAAAACCTAGATCTGTAAATAAGATTAAAAAACAAATAAAATAAAAAATAAAAAAATAAATAATAATAATAATAATAATAATAATAATAATAATAATAATAATAATAATAATAAATAAAATAAAAGAAGAAGAAAGAAACAAAGAAAGAAAAAAAGAAAAAATGCTCTATACTGTTTTTTTTATTTTTATTATTTTTTAATTTATTTTTTATTATTCATACTTGTAAATAAATACATTTCCTTTGCCGAGTCTGGCCTTAATAAGACCAGTGATCTGAGTGTGAGACATGTCCCCTGAGTCCAGTATCTGTTCTCCTGGGGCCCTTCACACATGTGGCCCTCCCATTACATCAATGATCTACACTTATACACATGGAAACACACCGTCTATGGACCACACAGCTCAGTCCCTCTAGTAACACTGTCCTGTCCTTTTCGTCATCTTAAAGGAGCATTGTGTAACTTTTCTGGTGGAGGGTCTGTCAAATGTTCTGACCAATCCAGACCCAAGTTACAGGTCAGATCTGAGGAGAGAACACCCCGCTCACAGACAGAATATGGGGAGTGTAGGGAGTATTATCTCTTCCATAAGGATGCGTTGTACAGTTGTAGAGAGTATTGTCTGTTACATAAGGGTGAGTTGTTGTGCAGTTGTAGGGAGTATTATCTCTTCCATAAGGGTGAGTTGTTGTACAGTTGTAGGGAGTATTATCTCTTCCATAAGGGTGAGTTGTACAGTTGTAGGGAGTATTATCTGTTACATAAGGGTGAGTTGTTGTACAGTTGTAGGGAGTATTATCAGTTACAAAACGGTGAGTTGTTGTATCTGTCTGTCTGTCTGTCCTAATAACAACTCACTCTTATATAACAGATAATACTCCCTACAACTGTACAGCAGCTCACCCTGTAACATGTAACAAATAATACTCCCTACAACCGTACAACTCACCCTTATAATACTCCCTACAACTGTACAACAACTCACACTTATGGAACAGATAATACTCCCTACAACTGTACAACAACTCACCCTTAAGTAACAGATAATACTCCCTACAACTGTACAACTCAATGTAACAGATAATACTCCCTACAACTGTACAACTCACCCTTATGTAACAGATAATACTCCCTACAACTGTACAACAACTCACCCTTATGTAACAGATAATACTCCCTACAACTGTACAACTCAAATAATACTCCCTACAACTGTACAACAACTCATCCTTATGTAACAGATAATACTCCCTACAACTGTACAACAACTCACCCTTAAGTAACAGATAATACTCCCTACAACTGTACAATAACTCATCCTTATGTAACAGATAATACTCCCTACAACCGTACAACTCACCCTTATAATACTCCCTACAACTG